AAAAAAAAAAAAAAAAAACAAAGTATTTTCTTTGACCACAATGGAATGAACCTAGAGATCACTAAAAGAAGAAAATTTGAAAAATTCATAAATATATGGAAATTAAACAACACATTCTTGAACAACCAATGGATTAGGAAGAAATCACAAGGGAAATAAAACATTTTGAGATGAATAAAAACAAAAACACAATATATCAAAATTTAAGGAAGAAAATGAAAGTAGCACTCAGAGAGAAATTTAAAGCTGTAACAGAGAAGAAGGATCTCAAATCAATACCTACATTTCTACCTTAACAAACTAAAAAAGAAGAACAAACATTAAGCAAGGCTAGTAGCAAGATGGGAGAAAAGAATGAAGATCAGAATGGAGGAAAACAAAATGCAAAGGAGAACCAAGAAAATCAAAAGCGGTTCTTTGGTAAGATCAATAAAACTCACAGACCTTTAGCTGGACTGATGGAGAAAAAAAGAATCAAATTCCTAAAATCAGAATCGAAAGTGTGACAGTACTATTGACCTCACAGATATAAAAAATACTTTCAGAGAATAATAGGAATAATTGTACACCCTAAAGTCAGATAACCTAGATCAGCGGTTCTCAACCTGTGAGTCACGACCCCATTGTTCCATTTGTAACAACGCAGCAATTAGGAAGGTTGAGAACCACTGTTCTAGATGAAAAGGAAAAATTCCTAGAAACACACAAATTACCAAAAGTGACTGTTCACGTCTTTTGCCTACTTTTTAATGGGGTTGTTTGATTTTTTTCTTGCTGATTTGCTTGAGTTTTTTATACATTTTGGTTATCAGGATGGATAGCACCACATGTACTCACTATTAAATAGGAACTAATTGAACAGCAGCCTTGTGTGCATTTGGTAGTAAAATTCAACAAAAGGTAAGCAGATGGGAAGGGGCAGAAGGGAAGGAGTAAATTCACACCTACCGGGTACAGTGCACACTATCCAAGTGATGGACTGAGTCATAACTTTGACCCAATCTGTACAAAACAGTTCATGTAACCAACAATTGTACCCCCAGAATATTCTGAAATTGAAAAAAAAATCTTACTGTAAAACTACTATATTCAAAACAATACAGTATTGGCACAAGTACAATAGTCTACAGGCATTTGATCTACATGTCTATACATTTTTAGATTAAAATTGAGAGTCCAAAAATAAATCCATATATCTATAGTCAATTTTTTTTAAGAAGGGTGCTGAGAGCATTCAATGAAGGAAAGAATAGTCTCTTCAAAAATGGTGCTGGGATACCCACATGCAAAAGAATGAAACTGGGCCCTTATCTCACACCACCTACAAAAATTAACTCAGAATGAATCAAAGACCTATATGTAAGAGCTATAACTATGAAAACTCTTAGAAGAAAACATAGGAGTAAATCTTGATAACCTTGGATTTGGAATGGTTTCTTAGATGTGAAACCCAAAGCTTAAGCAATAAAAGGGGGAAAAGCTGGACTTGAACAAAATTAAAAACTTTTGTACATCAATGGATGCTATCAAAAGGGTGATAATACATCTCACAATATGGGAAAAATATTTGCAAATCATATATCTGATGGGGTTTAGTATCCACAATATATAAAGAACTCTTACAACTCATTGAAAAAAGACAACTTAATCAAAACATGAGCAAAGAACTTAAATACACATTTCTCTAAAGAAGATATGCCAAAAAAGCACATGAAAAGTTACTCCACATCATTGTCATTAGATAAATACAAGTCAAAACTATAGTAAGATGCCACTCACACCTACTAGAATGAATGAATGAATGAGTGAGTGAATGAAATACTGAGATGGTTCTAGGGTCTGAAGCTGACAAATATAAACCATTATAGCTTAGAGTTTTTTGATATAACCAAGAGCAGGCATATCATTTTTACCTGAGATCTTTGCCCAGCAATCTCTATGAAAACAGAATCAACTGCTGAGCCTAGTAGTCTGTGGAAACATGAGGTAAAGGAAGTGTTTTCCCAACATTTTCTGTACCCAGGAGAAACTAAACAGCTGTGTGTGTGTTTTGGCCAGTTGAACACAGTAACACAGAATTTCTCCTTTAAGATCACTGGGTCTAACTTCTTCATCTTATCATCAAGGGAAGTGAGGCACAGAGGTCAAGTGATTTGAGCAGGGTCACCAAGAACTGAGCCTAGAGCCCTGGTCTCTTGTGTCGTGCCTGTAGAAAATGTGTTAATTGCCAGGATGAGACCATTGTTGGGGTATGAGTCAAGCATACCCACAATAGGCCAAAGGATTGGGATGGTCCCACTCAAGGGGGCCTCAGAATTCTGGGACAGGTGAGAGAACAATGATTCCAGCAGGCTGGCGTGCTGTGTCCTTATCAAACCTTAGCCCACCCCATGTCTGGTCCCCCAATAGAAAACTAATTCATAGATACAGCTTCATGAGGAGCTCAGGGAGATAATCCCATTAAATGCAGTGAAGAGTTGGAAAGGGGGGCGGAGGAATACCCATAGCAGGCAATAGCTGCTCTCGAAGGAATCTACTGTGTTCAATATTGGAGGACATAGTAGAAGCAGGGCTGAGCAGAGCGTGATGAATGGATTCATTTATAGTTCATGAAACAATAAACTTCTTTGACAGGGTGCTTAAATTCTGAATTCCCAGTTGAGTCAGGAGGAGGCCAAACAAAGTGAGGGAGCTGTTGCTGGGCAAACCTAACTGGGTGGCTTGGCCTTTAAGGAAGTAGTTGAGACAGCTCAGAGACCCATTCTCTCCTCCAAAGGAGGGGATCCTGAGTGCCCAGAGATTTTGTTATTGAGATGAGGTTCCCTCCCATTGCCCCCTACCCTGCTCTCTGGTGGAGGAAACAATCCTTAAAAGGCACAAAAATGATGCCTAGGAGAGGACCTTAAATTGAGGCAAGGAGTCCTTGAATCCAGCCTTAGCTTTGCCACAAATGTCTTTTGACATTGACTAGGTCACACCACCCTTTTGTGTTTCTTTCCCTGTTTATACAATGAAGGGTCAAGAATGAATGATTTTGTGTCTTCTATCCTTAACATTCTGTATAACTCAAGCTGTGTATCCTGGAATAAGTGCTTTTCCCCCACTGGCCTCAAAGTCCTAGCTACCAAATGATTGGGCATCTGGGGTCTGGTCTCGCTGTAGAGTACGATCGGGGTGAGCAGTAGGATCCCTGAAAGGAATGCAGGGCCCAAGGTGACTTCCTACCCAGGTGTTCTCCAAAGGGAGCCCTCTCTTTTACCTTTACCACTCAAATTCAAACTCCTCGCCCTCCTTTTAGAAGAAAGCAATCAAACTCAAGTTGCTCCCTCTAAGGTATGAATGACTCATTCATTTCATTCTATTAATCCATTGCATATAGGAGATACTCCATGCACCTCTGTGGATGAAGAAAGCAATCGGACTCAATTTGTTTTAAGGTGTGTGCAACTCTCAAGGTTCACCCTTCAAAGAGGTTTGTCTTTTCCCCTAAATCTAGAACTGTTAAAGACAGACTTCAGAGTCTGTAAATGGCCTGCAATCATATGAGTAGGTAATACTTTATGTAGATGTGTTTACACAAGTGCGTATTTCTGGGAAGAGGGTCTATAACTTTCATCCAATTCTCAAAGAGAAAATGTGTCCTCTTCTGCTGCTCCCAAGCCCAAAGGTTGGGACCCATCACCCCTTATCTCATGAACACAGGCAGACCTCAGCAGAGCAACTGAGTCACAGGGGATGGAGCACTGAAGGTGTGATGGCTTAGACTCTGAGGATGTGAATGGGTGAAGTATGGAAAGACCCCAGGCTTAACTGCTGGGCCAGGGACAGAAGGAAGAAAATCCCCGAGTGTTCAGAGCCCCTCTTCTCCATTAGTGATGAATTGTTCTATGTCTTTAACCTCTTCCCACCTGGGAGGTTCTCAAAGGCAGGGACTATGTAGCCAGTATTGATCTGAATTGACCTGAACTTGAAGCTTGAAACTTACCCTCCTGAGTCTAACCTGACAAACTCTTACTACTCTGGAGGACCCATTACCAGATTTCTTGAGCAACTAAAATGCCAAATAAATACTTAGCTTTGTTTCAAGCCCTGGACTTCCCTGAGGCCGAGAAGCTGGAGAGAAAAGATGGCACCAAACAAAAGGATACTAAACAAAGGAGGAGCCATCAAAGAAGGTGTAGTGTAACTTGAAGGTCTTCCTGGACATCTTCCACTCTTGAGATTGCCGATTGGAGTGCAAATGGTGGGTGGAAGCCTGGTGAATGGTGGAGGCGGAAGTCTGAGCTCCTCTCTCTGCATGAGATTCGCCTTTGTTGACCAACATCAGATGAGAGGGCATCTTTGCCTTGTAGTTGCGTAAGACCATGGGGCAAGAGCTATTCTTCCATTTCCCTGTGATTCTTTCAACTTCTCTGCAGGGAAGGAGACCAGTATGTCATCTAGTCACTTGGCTCTCACTCACCAAGAGTCTCCTTGAAAGTCGTATTTTTTACATGCCCACACAAAAGAAAAACACAATTAAACTCAAGTGGGGAGGAAGGGGGAAAGGGGAGGTGGGAAGGAATTGGTGTGCTCTCACCTAACAGGCACAATAAGGCTCTCACCTAAGGATACCGAGTGAGGGGCACAACTACAACCTGCACTTTACTTAACAGACTCAAACAATGAAACCTAATCAACTGTACCCTCATATTAATCTGAAATTCCTTTTTTAAAAGTAGTATTTTTAGGAAAAGCCATCGTAGAGTGGGTTAAGGGCCTATGGAGTGGGACAGGAGGGGTGGGGGACCTGGACGCTTTGCTTACTCCAGTCCTGAGGCTACAGGGGAAAAGAGCTTCCTTCCAGAGTGTGTTGTTGTCCAGCAAGCCCCAGCAGACATACATGACTTTGGTGTGATATGTGAATGGGTGTTTATTCCTTTATGGCCCATGATCTGGGCCCTCAGACACATGGTGAATAACTTGCTAGGCCTTGTGAGATGGACCCACAGAATCATAAATACTACTAATCAACCATAATGATTATTTTTATTGTTTTGGGAGATTTTTGTTTGTTTGTAGAAGAACATTTGAAAATTACATTAAGAAATAAACACTCAGAGTCCAAAGGCAGTGAACTATAAGGAGCCGTGCCAAGGGGTGTCATAAGTGAGGTGCTGCAGAGGCCCAGAGCATCCCCCACAGGGAGTGTGCGGGGTGGGTCAGGCCAACAGTGCTGCATGAACTCAGTCAATTCCTTACCTGCTCACAAACTTGAGCTGCCTCAATCTCTCCATTCACAAAATGGAAATCAATTTCATCCTTCCTTTTATGGTTGGAGTGAGGTTATAGGGAGGCTAGTAAATGGGGAAGGTCTGGAGATGTGGGGATGTATGTGTGTATGCATGTGAGCGGCCTCACAGCTGTGGCTGTCTTGAGAGGATGGGGTAGCTAATGCTCCCCATCATAGCTCACACATTTCCAGGACTGTCCTCTTACACACACACAGGAGCTCCCAGCCAGCGCCAGGCTTTCTGAGACACCAGCCACCTGCCCCAACCACAGAGGTGCTCACATGTGGCGACACAACTCCTGCAGCTTCTCCCGGGCCTCGGGGCAGGGGTCGCTGAGTTCATTGCTGTCCACAGAGGTCCCTGGTCCTCGCGTGGTGGGTGGTGTGCTGGCCTCATCTGCGAATTTTGATTTGCCTGTAGTGGAGGCCAAGAGGTTAGGTGGGGGTTTCTGTAGATATCACGTTCACTTGGGGTGAGGGGGTGGGGAAGAACATGAGAGCAGCAACCCCTAAGTGTCAGAATAACTGAAGAGATCACTGATGCTCCCTGGGGCCAAGAATCAGTGGCTGGTCACTTGTCTAAGAGAGACATAATACTGCAAGTCGACCAATAAATGCATGTCAGGGACCAACATGTGCAAAATGATGAGACTGGCCACGTCTCCTGGGTTCTAGGCTGGGAGAGCCCTGTTGGGGTTGAGCTGCCCTTCATGCTGAAGTGGGTCTTGTTTTTTTTAAAACAGAGTCTCATTCTTTCACCCTGGATAGAATGCCATGGTGTCATCCTGTGGTATTTATTTTCGTGAGTCCCCTCCATGGCAAGTGTCAGGTAGTTTGAGGATGTGGTGATGTGGAGTTGCAGAGGTGATCCTCCCTAGCTGAGGTTCCAGAGGCATCTACTTGGTCACTTGTGCCAGGTCTTGTGTGCATCAGGTCTCTGCCTCTCACACAGCAGGAGCCTTGTTATATACAGGCTCAATTCCACCTGGGATTCAAGGATAAAACCTGGCTCTGGGCGAGGGGCTCCTCACAAAGGAGCCTTCTTCACTGCTGGCCAAGTCTGGGAGTTTATGGCTGACACTTAGGTACCATGTCTGGTATCTGGCATCTGAGCAGTTCCCACACCCTTTCCATGCGCCTTTTGCCACCAGGGACCAGAGACAGAGGCCCACCTAGAACATCTGCTGGCTTGGATGTCCATGTCTGGGCTGCCCCAGGCTGCCTTTGACCCCTTGAGGGTGACAGCCTCATGTGCTGACTAGGAACTGCTATTACAAGACTTCTCTCAGTTCTTGTCCAGAAATAGCTGCTGTCCTAGTTGGAGAAGGCCCAACTCCTGGAACCAACTGTTCCAAGTCTGCCCGGCCCCAGAACTGCCAGCTGGTGAGCTATAACACTACATGGAGAGGCCTCCAAACTCAAAACCACTTAAAACAAGAATGGCTACTTAGTATAGTACGCTGTCCAAACTGAGAAAATGTGTAGGGTGAAAGTAGGTATTGTCCCTAGTTATACCAGGACAATAAACAGAAACTGAGACATTCTCAGGCAAGCGGGGACCTGTGGTTGTTTTACCCACAATCTAGCAGGCAAGGGTAAGCTCCATGCTAGCATGCATGTGTGCGGCTAATTCCTAAACAATAGGAAGAGCCTATAATAAATGCAGCATCTCTAAACATACATCCTGCTGTGAATGAGACAACATGGAAGCCATCACGAAAACTCTCATCTTGGTGGGTTGGCAGAAGAAAACACAGTCTGTAGGCAGAGACCACCAGACACGGAGCAGTTCCTAGCCCTCAGGGAGATAGTCTAAGACTCGAACAGATGTCTGAAAGCATGGATGGTACTGAACCCTAAGCATCCTGTGTTTTTTCCTAAGCATGCACACCTATGATAAAGTTTAATTTTGCTTTGGAACAACCTTGCTTAAGAAGTCACCCTTGAGTTCACTAGGGAGAAAAACTCATGAAATTCCCAGATGTTTTGAGGTGTGCTGGCCTCATCTGCGAATTTTGATTTGCCTATAGAAGACTTGTTCAGGAGGGCATGGGACAGAGCCAGGAGCACATGGAGAGACGCACTGGAAATGTTGCTGCAGTTATCACACCACAGTAGGAGAAAGCACATCCGCAGAGGTGAAGGAGTCAGGGAAGGAGGCAGGCAGTTGAAACCACTCCATATCCAAGGCCTAAGGATGTCAGCTCCTTTAAGGAAGGCATTTTCTGCATCTGGAGTCTGTATCTCTATCCCGAGCATTTGATAAAGTGACTGACAATCAGCAAACACTCAGTAAACATGTGTTCACTAACTGAAGGGATAGAGGGTCAGCTTGAGTGGGTGAATGATGAGACAGAAGGAATAACAATGATAACCGTAAAGGTCTGGGAACTTCTGATGGCCACGATGACCATCCCCTATTCCACTAAGAAGGTGAGGCCTGAAGAAGGCAATCGCACAGCCAACCAGGGTGGGGGACAGAGATGAAATCCAGGCTTCTCTGCCTTCTAGCCTATGCTCCAGTGTCTGGGAAAATCAGTTGGCCAGTCTGAGAGCTCCCCCTTCCCTCTGCCTTCCAGCTGCTCCTTGGGGGATACAATCCTCTCCTCCCTATCCCGTCCACCCATCCTGAGGTTATGGCTGAAAGCTCGGGTCTGTCTGCAGCTCCAGTTCCAAGCTTCTTCTTGCACAGTTGTTACCCTGTTAGCTCTCCTCTGCCACCTGTTCTTTCCCTGAAGCTTCTCCTGGGTGTGCCTTCCTCAGTAGAATAAGAGTGTCTTTGTCTTTGATTCCTGTTCACACAAACTGGCCTAATTTGAGACATGCATCTGGGGTATGCTACGTTTGGTATCGAAATACCTCTGTTCAGACATGAGTTCCTCCACTTACTGTGTGCTAGAGACAGCTGTCTCTGAGCAGAGAAGGTGAATATGGGGGACTGCAGAGGGTGGAACGGGGGCATTTGGGGGAGATGGTGTCCCAGGTGAGGGAAGTCACAAGGCCAGGAGTGGAGGGAACCTACACATTCAGATGATGAGACTGTGAGACTGCTATGGAGTGAATGGGCGAGGCTGTGGCAACTTCTACCTGAGAGAACCTGTGTCACCAGCTGCTGGGTCTCCAGCCAGGGCAGCTGTACATTATTCCAATCAGAAAACCAACTCAAACCATCTCACCAATCCACCCCACAGGATAGAAGGAAATCATCTGTCCTAGTACCATGCTGCTCCTACCAACACCACCACCACCAATGATAGGTCAGGAGGTCTTGTAGGGAACCATTTTTACCTGCTTTCTTCCTGGGTTCCCTTCCAGTTGAGAGGGAAAAGCTCAGGCAGGCTGTAGAAGACTGGTAGATCAGCTGATAAGGGGAGTTCACTCCCATGGCAGAGATGTTCAAGGAGGACTCTGGGGTGGAAGAGAGAAGGATTCTTCTTTCAGTTTTTTCATTTTCTTGTTCTCATTTTTAAACCAAAGCGTGACACAGACTTCTTGTTCTAGCAGTATGGCGATACGCTAAAGTGCCCTGCTATAACAAAGTGACCACATACTGGAAGAAAGAGACTTTGCAGTGTTCATAGTAATTGAGGAATAAAGTTCTCTGCAGTGCCTCTCTCCCCTTCCCCCAAATCTCTCAAGAGGGCACCAGAGCAGGAGCAGCGAGCAGGCTCCAGAGGTGACAGTGCTCTAATGGCACATGCAGGGATAAATGCTGCACTCACGCAGAAGGCGACCCTGGGGCCAGCAAGCAAGAAAGGAAGAGATGTCGCTCCCTCATCCACACCATGGAAATCAGATGCTTCTTCAACAACTCATCAGTCTCTCACAGAATCACTCCATCTTGCATAGAATCATTTGATATCTGACTGCTTAAGAATTCAAATTCAGCACCGGCATGGCTGATGGAAAAATCTTAATCATTCTTACATAGACCTCACCAAATCATTTGCTTATTCTTCCCCCAAATGTGGTTAGGCGTTTTCACCGGTGAGGGCTAAAATTGTTGTTAGGAAATATTAAACAGTTCGTTCACTATAGTCCTTTCAAATTCAAAAAGAAAATGGCAAGCGTGACCTGGTAAGTAGATGAAGAGTATAAACATTGGATGATAAAACATAAAAACAAACATCTTGCTAGTGATCCAAAAGTTGGAATTAGAATAACTTCCGATGCCTTCTAACTTAGTACAAACAAAAAGGACAATGGCCAGTGCTGGTGAAGATGAAATAAACCCCTCAACCCTGCCGAGGGTGCAGAAAAAAATCATGCAGAAAGTATCACTTAACAAAAAGAGCTACATAAATATTGAGACCTCTGCTCCAGTAACTCTTCTCTCAGGGAATTATTCTTAATAATCAATACAACAGAAATAAGAATTGACATGCACAAAGTTGCATATTACAATGCACATTCTACTAGTAATAGAAACTCTAAATCATTTAGGTCAAAATGGAACATGAACAAGGAGTCTAGCCTACTTGAAATGGCAATTATTCCAAATATAGAGCCACATGAAAAACATCTGTAGTCTGTTAAGTAAAAGAAAATGAGGAAGAGGAAAACTGGAACACTGTAAAAATATGTACAGGTGCATGAGAACCACAGAGGAAACTGCAAAAGTGAAAAATGGCTCTGATGTAAAGAGGGCAAGATTGCTTTCCTCCTTTTTTTTGCATAAAAAGTATAATATTTTATAATATAAAAATTGAATAATATAAACTAAAAAATAAAGCAGTCTAGTTCTCTTCAGTGACAAGCCAAGCTAGGTATCAGGACAGGAGGAAAGACTGTCTTTGCAAAGAGTCTATTATGGTCCCTGCTTGAGAGAAGTATACTCCAGAACCAGTTACGATTTTAGTCTCCCTCACAAAAGTAGCTGGTCCAGAAAAACACAATTCATGAAAAATAAATCATCACAGCAGGAGGCTGAGGCAGGAGGATCACTTGAGCCCAGGAGTTGGAGATTGCAGTGAGCTATGATGATTCCACTGCACCTCAGCCTGTCTCCGAAAAAAAAAAAAAATCATCACTGATTCTTCTTTTTAACATCTCAGGAGAGTTATCTAGTTAAAGTTCTTCTAGGATGAATGAATGTTTTTCCCAAAGAAAGGATCACTTTTTCATTTCTATGTTGCTATTTAGGTTTTTATTTTCAAATTCTAGGCTTGTTTAAAGATAGGAATGACTGCACCAGAAGTGCCAACAAGAGAGATTTCCTAGGGAGTGTGATGGAGAGGAGGCCGTGTCAGCACTCCGCTGACCCAGCTGGACACAGAAATTACCCCAAAGGCTCTCCAGAGTTAAGCTTAACTCTCTTCTCTTTCTCCTTCACTAGATGACTCACAACCTACAAGGGATGCTGGAAGCAAAGGCTGGTCATTTGGAAAGAATGTTTAAACACTCTAACCAGGGGTGTCCAACCTGCAGCTTGAAGGCCTATATGCTGATTTTAGGAAGATGTTTGTAGCTTACTTGTGGTGTCATGAAAAGTACCCACGAACTGCTTTGTTAGTGCTTGTGTATTTAATGTGTGGCCCAAGACAACTCCATTTTTCCAATATCTGACAGAGGGCAGAAAAAGGTTGGACATCCCTGTAAGGACTATAACTATCCTGACATTCCCTGACTATCTGACTCTCCTACTTATCCAACATACTAGTAGGCAGCTGTGCCTCCAAATGAGGCTGATCTCAAAACAGAACACAAGGTGCAGGACTGTGTGTGCCAATTGCTGATTGCCAAAATCATTACGGCATACTCAGAGGATGTGTGCCATCAAAGTCTGGCTAATCCTGTGTAAACTGGGCACAGAGTAAATTCCCTTAAAACAGAGACCTCTGTTTCATGGTAAACAGTGGGGAGGAAACATTTTAGGAATTTTATCTTAGAAAAAGAACCAAAATTTATCAAATAGACATCTTTTATCTTATACTTAACAAAAATTAGTTGATATTGTAAATATACCCCAATTCTTGAAGAAGAAATAAAAACAACTGTGCTAGTTTTAAAGCAGTGTGATTTTCCTTTTTCCTGAATGAGTGACTGTACAGTGGCAATAAAACATAAGTTCCCTCCATGTTTGCCTTTTGTAAAATTATTTAAGGGCTTCTCTGGTTTTTATTTCCAACTCTTTGATATCCCAAACATCCTTTCTCCATGGAACCATCATCCCTTCTTCAGCAGTTACCCAGTGCTGTTCCACCACACATGCATCAGGGGTTTTGGGTGGGAATCCGGCAGCTCTCCAGCACCACTTTCATTGACTTCATTTTTCCCAAGATCTGAAATTTTACTATGCAATTTGTTTGCTGTATACATATATTATTGTCAGGTGTTTAACCTCTGACCTTCAAGGGAGCTTGAAAAAAATACTGACTCAGTAGACAAGAGGAAAGTTAGAAAGGGACTAATTTTATAGGTAAGGGCCAATGGTTAGGAGATGTAAATTTTTCATGCTTTCCTATAAAACCTCCTACTAGCAAGTACATTAAGGTATTCAAAGTGAACACTCATATATCCACCAATCTTAAGCTATCAAACTCTACAAAGCAAAATGAACAAAAACAAAAATGATTTAAAAATGAGGTAAGGGGGTGGGGTGGAGGCAAGATGGCCAACTGGAGCCAGCTTTCCACAGAGGCTTCCGCCCAGAAGAAGAGTTAAAAGACAGAAGTTTAGCAAGTAAGCTGATGGTTTGGAGCTGAGCCAAGAGAGAAAGTTGAAGAATGCACATCAACCCTGCTGAAGCAAGCTGCAACCCCAAGGATACAAACAATAGGTACAAAATCCATCGCCAAGCAGATGGGAGTCCCCTCCCACATGAGAACAGCTCATAGTATACTTTCTACAAAAAAGTGAGCAGAGTTCAAACATCCTCCCGTTTTATCCCATGGGAGAGACCATCTAAAAACCAGACCTCCTTCCCCTACTAGGGTGCCATGGCACTCTCCTGCCAGGCATAAATCTACAAAACTGTATATATTCTCTACCTGCAATTTTGAACTTCCAGCACTCTCCTCCCCTCTCACCCCAAGGTCTAGAAGCCTGTCCCCCATGGAGTCCAGATTCTTGGGCATTTCCTCGAGAGGTGTGAACAGGGTGTGTGCTGATTCTGCAGCGTGGGGATAAGGACAAGATGGTAGACTGAAGGAACCATATTGGAGAGGAAGAGGTGGTGCCCTCCACCCTCCGGCACTGAAAATCAGCAGCAGCATTGGGAACAATAGGGCTTACACCCTTGGGGATATTTTGGAGAGACATTCCCTGTCTCTCTGGGCAACCAGAGAAAGCTGGGCGTCTTCACTGGTGGCAGACACTGGTGGAATAGATCTGGGGCAGTAACACAGGCCCCATGAGCAAATGGTATGCATGAGGCGGTACCTGTCTGGGTGGGGTGAGGGAGGGATGGAGAATAGCAGATGCATACACAGAGACAACATACTCCCAGGGCAGACTAAGTCAGAAGGACTGCTTTAGTGAGCATAAGAAGCACCTGGCCCTCAGGAGATCATAGCTGAGACAAAGGTAGGCAGGCAGAGGCTGGAACTCAGAGCTGAGTGTGAGCTCTAACCACACCCACCCCAACACAGACTACAGCAGAGACAGACACACCAGCTCCAGACAGTGACACAGACTGGGGCTGAGTCACAGTTTCTATGAACTCAAAACAGTGCCTGGTCCACAGGGGAATATAGCCAGGACAGAATCACAAATTCTGCAAAAATATAAGTGTTGGGTGGCACTTGTGGCTCAAAGGAGTAGGGCACCAGCCCCATATACAGGAGGTGGCAGGTTCAAACCCAGCCCCGGCCAAAATCTGCCAAAAAAAAAAAAAAATAGAAAGAAAATATAAGTGTCAGCAACATCAATCAGGGGCAGGACTGGAACTGAGTGAACTGCCCCAGCTTCCATTAACCACCTGAGGTTGGCAGGCCTCAGCTCCCCCTGCCAGATGGTGGCAGAGTGTGGACCTGGCCAAGGAGACATAGATCTTCCTGTGACTCAGGCAGGTGCAAACCCCTGGAGCATCTGCTCATTGAAGGGAACTAAGTCACAGCCCTGTGGGGTTACCAGTGACTGGGCCTGACAGAGGTGCAATGTGGGTAAGGAGGCATCAATGTTCCCAGACTAATTCATTTGCTATGGGGGGGTGTCCTTCTGACTCCATGGAGCACCAGAACAAGTCATACTCAAGTTGCCAGCAGACCCCTGCTATCTAGTTGCCAGAGACCTTTTGAACTCTCCCACTTAAGACTGGGTGCTGACTGGGACAATTGATTTGGATCTCTTGGACTAGACCCAATCACCCAGGGACAATCCAAAGTGGTACCCTGGGTGTGTCATTGTGGGAAGGTTTGATTTTCCTTTTCCAGTTGTTGCCTGTGGCAGGATGGGGTGACTTAATTGCTGGTATTTCTCCATAGCTGAGACTTCCACCCAGCGTAACTGATTCATTAGGTTAGAACAGAAACCAGCTGAAAACAAGACAGAGCCACTTAGCCCCACTACACCAAGTCCCCAAGTGTCTCACTCCATAGCACTGTACGGGTCTTTTGCCAAGCTCTAGGGGAAAAGGTACAGACACCAGTCATGGCTGTTGGGCAAAGAGCTGGTTAATCACTACTCCAGGAGCTCCCAACCCAACTTCACCTTATCTGCTCATCTAGTCAAACGGTGTAAAATAATCATGGTGCAGAATCAGCAAAAAAACTCTGGTAATGTGAATAACCAGGGCAGATCAACTCCTCCAAAGAATGATATGGCAGACACAACTAAAGATCCCATTCATAAACAAATGGCTGAGATGTCAGAAATTGAATTCAGAATTTGTATTGCAAATAAGATTAATAGAATGGAGGTAAAGTTGGAATTAGAAATTCAAGGAGCATTTCAAAAGTTGTCTCAAGAATTCAATGAATTCAAAGACAAAATCACCAAAGATTTTGAAACATTGAGACAAGAATTTGCAGCCCTGAAAGATCTGAGAAATACAGTAGAATCCCTCAGTAACACAATGGAGCAAGCAGAGGAAAGGATTTCTGCCATTGAAGACAAAGCTTTTGAATGCTCCCAAATGCTCAAAGACAAAAGAAATGGAGAGCAAAAATGGATCACTCTTTCAGAGAGCTCTAGGATAATTCGAAGAAAACTAATATTCGCCTTGTAGGAATTCCTGAAGGCAAGAGATGGCTTCACAAGGCACAGAGGCTCTTCTTCATCAGATTATGGAGAGCTTTCCAGACATGCCAAAAGATTCTGAAATTCAGATAGCAGACAGTTTTAGAACCCCAGCATGACTCAACATGAATAAGATATCTCCTAGGCACATCATAATTAACTTCGCTAAAGTTAATATGAAGGAGAAAATTCTGCAAGCAGCCACATGTAAAAAAAACCATAACCTACAAGGGGAAGAATATTAGAATGACTGCAGATCTCTCTGCTGATCAAGCTAGAGGGTGGCCATTGACCTTTAATCTCCTGCCATTTGATCCTGCAATTCCTCTACTAGGTGTATATCCAAAAGACCAGAAATCACTTTATAACAAAAATATTTGCACCAGATTGTTCATTGAAGCTCAATTCATTATAACCAAGTCATGGAAGAAGCCCAAGTGTCCATTGACCCATGAATGGATTAATAAATTGTGGTATATGTATACCATGGAATATTATGCAGCCTTAAAAAGAGATGGAGTCTTTACCTCCTTTATGTTTACATGGATGGAGCTGGAACATATCTTACTTAGTAAAATATCTCAAGAATGGAAGAAAAAAATGCTCAAGGTACTCAGTACTATTATGAAACCAATTTACAATCACTCACATTTTCACATGAAGAATAGATCACAACTATGGCCCAGGATGGAGGAGAGATGAGAGGGGATGGAAGGGGATAGGGGAGGTCAGATTGGGGGAGGGTGAATGGTGGGATCACACCTATAGTGCATAATGCAAGTGTACATGTCGGATCTATTAAGTATGCAGGGGTCTTCAAACGTTTTAAATAGGGGGCCAGTTCACTGTCCCTCAGACCATTGGAGGGCCGGACTGTGGGTTCTGGGATGAGTTGGCTGCTAAGCAGGACAGGCAGCAGCAGGAAAAACACCCAGTGGGCCGGATAAATGTCCTAGGTGGGCTGCATGTGGCCTGCAGGCCATAGTTTGAGGACGCCTGGTATAGAGTATAAATGTCTTAACACAATAATTAAGTAAATGAGATGAGGTATATATTAACCAGTGTGATGTAAAAATTCCTAATTCTATACGAAATCAGCACATTATACCCCATAAATGCATTAATGTATAAATGATCTATGTGTTTATGATTTAATAAAAAAAAATAAAAAATGAGGTAAGGGTCTGAATAGACATTTCTAAAAAGAAGACACACAAACAGCCAACAAGTGATAAAAAATATTCTCAATATCACCAACCATTAAAAAATGCAAATCAAAACCACAATAAGATATTACCTCAGACCTGTTAGAACAGCTATTATGGAAAAAAAAAGATAAAGATAGCAAGTGTTGGTGGGGTTGTGGAGAAAAGGGAAGCTTTGTATACTGTTGGTGGGAATGTACATTAGTACAGCCATGAAGGAAAAGACTATGGAAGTTCCTCGAAAAATTACAACCATTACTATGATATGATTCAGCAATCCCACTTCTGGAATATACATATACATACATATACACACATATATGTATATATATAAGAAATAAAACTACTATCTTAAAGAGATACCTGCACTCCCATGTTTACTGCAGTAATATTCACAATAGCCAAACTATGGAAACAACCTGGGGGTCCATCAACACATGAATGGGTCAAAAAATGTGGTATACATGTACAATGGAATATCATTCAACCTTATAAAAGGAAAATTTCCCATTTGCAGTGATGGATGAACATACATGACATTATGCTGAGTGAAATAATCCAGGCACAGAAAGGCAAAATATTGCATGGTCTTACTTATGTGTGGAATCTAAAATGTCAAACTCACAGAAGCAGAGAGTGAATAGTGGACACCAGGCACTGGGGGCCAGGGGAGGATGGGGAGATGTTGTTCCAAATGGACAAGCGTTCAGGGGCATAAATTCTGGGGACCTAATGTACAGCATGGTGGCTGCAGTTAATATAACTATCTTGTGGGCTTAAAATTTGCTAAGAGAATAGATCTTAAGTGTTCTCAACACACACAAACTATATGAAAAGAATAAAACACCACAGATAGGACTGCAGATCCTGTGTCCCAGATCCTGTTCCCTCTTCCTCCCCCGAGATCACTTTCTCGAATGTTCCCCTTCATGATTTTATACTTACACTTTGTGTAATGGACCTATAAACAATATATTATTACTTTGCACGCTTTTAAACTTTTAACAATACTGTCATACCAAATGTATCTTTCCATAGCTTTTCCTTTTTTTCTCCTTAACACTGTTTTTGGAGATTTCACTCTATGGGAATGTACAATTCGTGCTTCATTTTCACTTATTTATTAGGTGCTCCTATCTAAATGGACCACATTTCATATTTTTTTCTTCTATTGATAAACATTTAGATTGTTTCCAACTTTTTGCCATTTTGAACAATTCTGCAATTAACATTCTTGTGTGATATCTTGCACACATATGGGAGAGTCTCTTGGGTTGTGAGACTCTTAAGTGTGGCCTGTGGACTGGCACTCACTCCTACAGGCCATGACCAGGTGAGCAGAAAAACTGAAGGTGAGCATTAAGAGATCGTTGCAGCAAATTGACAGAGTGGTCCACAACAGAATGGAAATTTTAAGAATGGGTCTTTCACCACAGATAGTTTGAGAAGCCCAGCTCTAGGGATTGGCCTATGAGAGGAGTTGCTGGGTTTTAAGATGTGGACATTTCCCCCCACTGGCAGATACCACCAAACTGCTGACACAACTCATCCACTCACCCACGGCATTTGAGAATCCCTGTTGCTTCACATTTTCAATCGGTGGAAATGTCAAATTTTCAAATCAGGGATTTTCCTTTTCCATTGCATTATTGTTGGTATCATGTGCACTTTTCACCTAAGGGCTGAAGCACGGGTACCCACCTTTCCCTATCTGTCCAGGACTGTAGCCACTTCTCCCAACTGTGCCAATCAGGCAGTCGAAGGCCATCTCCTTAGCATTGACGTGGAGGAGCTGGCTGGCCTCCACAAAGCGCCTGGTGATGTCCAGGGGGTTGGCACCTGCTAAAGCAATGATTGAAAGCAGCATGTTTTCCTCCTAGCCTGGGTAGAATAGTTCCAGAAAAGGACTTCTGCAAATGGCCAGGAAATAAGGGGAATATAAGCATGGGGGGGCTCCTAATCAAGGGGTCTCAAACTCTCAAGACCCTTCAGGTGACACTTTGCTTGCTGCCCTTTTGATTTGTCTCTCTTCCTACCCACAGGACTGGGTACCAATGCTGTTGGTATCAGAAATAATGCAGAATTGAGAAGGCTTAGTTACTGATGCTTCTTTATGTCCCAGCCTTGATCCTGGGATGACACCCTCACCTTGGATGGACCCTGGTTCTTATAACTTGCTCTGGTTCTAACTCTACCAGGCTCCATCTGGCTACTTCCCAACTGGCCCTCCCAATCTGCAAATTCCACATGTAACTCCCTCCTCAGTGCAGTCTCTCTCCTCCTCTGCATCATTCCTCAAAACCACCCCTTTGCTACCTCTGACTTTGTATACTGTTCAAAGTATTGGAAGTACTTTGGACTCTGCAAAGCTGGGTCAATGGGAGGAAAAATGAGAGAACAGAGAAGAGTGAGAAGACAATTCTAGGAGTGGTAGAAGGAACTAGTTAAATTCCTACAGCAAACCCATGGCTGCCACCTATTTCCAGACATCTTATTACCTGTCCTGTCTATGGGGCCATAGTTGAGTACACACATATGCATCTGGGCCAGAAACGGAGGAGAATCTGGTGAGCCAGTCTTACCAGATACAGATTCCACCATGGCCTTCATCTTCAGGCTGAGGAGCTCCGTTAGCAGGTGGATGGACTGTCGCTGAAATTTATGCAGAGTTTCCTGGCCATGATGGGCGTGGGTGGGAGAGACGGTGGAGTACTTGGCTGGCCCTGAGGACAGCACTGGCAGTGGTAGTGCTGGTGGTGGCTTCTTCAGCATTTGGACCTGCATGGGGGATGGTTCCACGACCACCACAGGGGGGGATCCAAAGCTGACCTCCAGGCCCGCAATGTCGGAAGGGGTAGGCACAGCAGGATCAGTGATGAGCTCCTCCCAAGTGAATTCGAAGATGTTTCTGATACCCTTTGGTATAGAAATGCCCGCGTTCCGACAGAGTATGAGGAGTTTGGAGATGCTGGCCAGCAGCTTGGGGGCTGTAGCTGTGTATTGTAGGTATAATTCCTGGTTACTCTTGAGGAAACTCATATTGTTTGAGCATGCCTGCTACTAGGTGATACTGTCCATCTCAGAGGAGAGGGACCTTCAACTGGAAAGAGTCAGAGCAACCTGAAAGGTAACTGAGAGCACAAGTTCTTACCTATAGTGAAGCTATGTAGACAGAAGGAATGGAAGTGCTGAAATGGCCATTACAGGTCATTGAGCCAGTAGTTCCTATCAGGGAAGGATAAGGAAATAATTGGTCACTTTCCTTATAGCAGGCCAAAGGGATACTCCCTGTCTCTGATTATCACAGAGGCACCATGAGATAGACCAATGTTAGGGAGTCACTTTGGGAAGGGCCTGGTGATGAATATGGTTCCAGAAGAGCTTCCAGGACAGTCACACAAGTGACTACCAAAGATGGGACGCCAGGGGGCTAGATGAATGAAGGAAAAAGGCCCCACTGTGCCTTCTGTGGTTAGAAATCCAAGGCTGGAAGATCCACTCGCAGTCTATTGATGAAATCCTGCAAGAACAAAAAGATGTTTCATTGACTCTCTCTGGAGGAAGGTGACGCGGAAGCTCCTGGTCGCAGTGCTAGGAAGGGCAGGGAATCACCCGACCTGTACATCCAAGTAGAGACAGGGAAGGATGAGGAGCATGCATTTCCTTAGCTCAATCCCTAATCGAATTTACCATCAAATCCAAAACATCATTGATTGAAAGATACACTTACAAGAAAGAGTCACTGAATCGGAGCTGCCATTGACTATAAGATATATCACAATGAAATCCATGGACTGTCATAAAAATGTTCCCACTTTAATACTATGGTGACATGTTTCTAAATTATCCTGACATATTTCTAAATTGTGTTTAATTCTTAACTTATCCTGATATATTTCTAGATTGTGTTTTATTCTTAACTTATACCAAAAATAGACTGCTGGTTGAAGAGAGGGGGCATAAAGGATAATTTAGCACATAAATGACCAGAAAAGTCTGCAAATATACTGCTAAGGTTTTGGAACCAGATCTAAAAGTTTCATTTGATCAAAATGAATACACTTTATGAATATATCAATCTAAAATATAGTTATAAAAAATGTGAAACACTCCTTGATCTTATACTGCACAACAGTGAGGATAATTTAATTCTTTTAATTCCTGAGGTACATTGTGAGACTATGAGCCTGTGTGAAAGACTCCAGAGCGCGTAGGAAGGTCAGTCCAAGGGAGCTTAGAGCACAGGGGTACCCCCTCCTTTGTTGGTCTTCACCAGCACCTCCAACAGGAAATTGCCTCTGTTGTCTAACTTCAGCAGCCCCAACCAACACACTTGCCAGAAATGCCGGCCATCAGGGCAGAGAAAGGGCTGCTGGCCTCAGCCCGCTGATCACACTTGGCAGTTGTGGAGCTGTCCAATGGTCTTTTCCTCCACCTTCCATCCTGATAACCACTCCCACTTTTCAAACCTCATCCTGAGCCACCCCAAGTGTGCCGTTCCAGGACAGCCTGGGTGCACGCCTTCAGTGTAACAGGGCAGATTCATGGTCAAAAGCTCGTGGGCTCACCCAGTAGTGAGAAAGCTATTACTGTTCTTGTTTTGCTGAAGAGGAATCAGAGATTGGTTGGGAGTCACCTATCTTTAGACCCCTGGCACAGAGCCCTTTTCAAACACCACACTACTTATCCATGGCCTTTGAACTGCCTCTGCCCATCTATCAAGTAACAAAATCTCCAAGGAACAAGAGTCTCATAGAGAAAACCCTTCTAACCTCTTGCTGGTTTGCAGATAAAGTGACTTCCTACATCTATTCCTTGACCCCCTGGCATCTCTATTCTTCAGCTTTGCAGACTGGGAAAAATAGATTCGTTTTTGAAACGATAAGTCCATAGAACAAAGAAACCACTCAGAATCTCCATCGTCTAGGCAAGCAGCCAGAGGGATCTGACCCTGACTGTGCAGGGCAGATTTTTTTTTTTTTTAAAGATGACAACTATTACAATCCTTGAAATGTTAACTGGTTTGGGAAACATCCCTGTACTCCCACCAATTCCTTTCTTTTGAGTTAAATGTTGAAGGTATGTCTTACCAACAGATAAAAGCTGATTTGTAAAATAACTTTGAAACACGATTCACATACCATACAATTTACCCTTTTTTAATATGTACAATGGATTTTAGTATATTCACAGTCCTGCAACCAACATCAGTATCTAATTTTAGAACATTTTAATCACCCTAAAAAAAAAAAAAAAACCCACCAGAGTCACTCCCCATTTCCCTTACTCCCAGTAACATTAATGTCGTTTCTGTCTCTACAGATTTGCCTGTGCTAGACATTTCTTACAAATGAAATCATACAATATGAGGTCTTTCGGGACTGGCTTCTTCACTTGGCCTAAGATTTGTCCATATTATAGCAGGTGTCAGTACTCCTTTTTATGGAAGAATAACATCCTGTTATATGAGTGTGCCGCAACTCTTGATCCACTCATTAGTTGGACATTTCAGTTGTTTCCATTTTTTGTCTTTTATGTATAGTGCTGTTCTAAATATCCATACACAACTTCTTGTATGGACACACATTTTCCTTCTCTCAGGGGTGTTATACCTAGGGGTGGAATCACAGGGTCCTACGGTAACTCAGTGTTTCACTTTTTGAGGAATTGCCAGACTGTTTTTCAAAGAATTGCACCATTTTACAGTCCTACCAGCAATGTTAGGAGCCTTCTGATTTCTCCATGTCCTTGCCACACTTATTTCTTTTTTTTGATTCTAGTGCCATCCTAGCAGGTGTGAAGTGACTAATGTCTTGTGGTTTTGATTTGCATTTCCCTGCTGACCAATGAGGTTAAGGATCTCTTTGTGTGCTTGTTGGCCATTTTATACACTCTGAAGAAAATTCTATTCAGATCTAGAAGATGTTTTTAAAAGCAATGACATCTTTTCTTTTTTTTATGACATGTAAAAGAAGTAATAATTTTAATTAAATGCAGAGACAACATGTTGATTATCACATATTTATATCTCTTCAAAACTCAGCTAGGGGCCAGACGCAATGGCTCATGCCTGTAATCCTATCACTCTGGGAAGCTGAGGCAGGAGAATTGGCTGAGGCCAGGAGTTTGACAAATAGCCTGAGCAAGACCCCATCTCCACAAAAAAAAAAAAGAGAGAGAGAGAGAAATTAACTGAGCATAGCTGTGCATGCCTATAGCTCTAGCTACTCAGGAGGCCATGGCAGAAGGATCGCTTGACCCCTGGAGTTGGAGGTTGCAGTGAGTTATGATGATGCCATTATACTCTAGACCAGATAGTTGCATAAGATCCTCTATAAAACAAACAAAAACTCAGCTAGAAGTGACTATGTGACTATACTCTAGCCCATGAGATGAAGATGGAAGCTGTTTGTCTGGTAGAGGACCCTGAGAGATCTTTATGAAGGTGATCTCTCATCCTGCTTGCTTGGAATGGACAACATGGCTGCAGCCCCAGCAGCCCCAGCAGCCCCTTTGAGCCATGAGGTTGCCTGGAGAAGGGAAGCCATGCATTAAAGGTGGCCAAGCAGAGCTTTTGATGGCATCATAGCACTCACACCTACATCCAAACCCTTTCACGTGAGCAAATGAACCTCTAACATCTCTAAGCCACTTTATTCAACTCTCTATTCTTGGCATCGAAAGTGATTCCTGACTGACAACCAGCCATGTTAGATCATCACTCCCTCCTTTCCATTTATCCAATTTATGTTTTGTCATTCATTTTTCCATCCCTGAGACATAAGGCTGGCCCTCAAGTACTGCATCATCTAACAGGCAGAACAGACTTATATGATCAGGGCATCACTACAGAGAGCGTACAAAGGCCACGGACACCCAAGGAGAAAGGTCTGAAGGAAGCAGCACTGGAGGGTGTCCTAAAGATAGGTGAGAAATTTCCAGGCAGATAGGAAGGAGCAAGGCATTCTAGGCAAAAGGAACAGCACGTAGAAAGGAATAGAGACACTTAAGGCCCGACGGGTTCAGAGAACTACGAACACCTCAGTATGGTTGGGGTCCAGGGGCTACAAGGAGAGTAGCAGATAAAGCTGGAAGAGTGGCCAGAATCAGATCAGGAAGGGCCTTATATGTCTCTCAAAGATTTGCATTGTTTTGTGTAATCAGACATTCCAGACTAATATTAAAGTGTGCTGTTTTTAATGGGTGGTGGTATCCCATGGGGTCTGACCTCTGCAAATGGAGGGCAGGCTTCTCTCTCCTTTTCTACGTGTGATCTCTATAATGCTAAGTCCTGTGCTGCCACAGGTCAGAAACTGAAAAATATCTGTGGCATTGCAGTCAGCCGGATAGCCTAAGGGGACTCAAATAGATAATCATAAACCAAGTTTCAAGAATCAATTCCGGGCGATGCCTATGGCTCAGTGGGTAGGGCGCCAGCCCCATATACCAAAAGGTGGTGGGTTCAAACCCAGCCCCAGCCAAACTGCAACAACAACAAAAAAATAGCCAGGTGTTGTGGTGGGCGCCTGTAGTCCCAGCCACTTGAGAGGCTGAGGCAAGAGAATCACCTAAGCCTAGGAGTTGGAGGTTGCTGTGAGCTGTGACAACACAGCACTCTACCGAGGATGATAAAGTAAGATTTTGTCTCTAAAAAAAAAAAGAAAAGAAAAGAATCAATTCCCACAAAAAAATGAAAAAATAGTCTAAGGAATTTATAAAGGGCATGAGGGATAACTGTGGGCCCGGCACCTTCTTCATTCCCTACCTGGCTGTATGTCCTCTGTTCCAGGTTAGCTGTCCAAATGGAGATGAGGAATGTTGGGCCCTCCCCTCAGGAGCTCAGTTGAGAGGAGGTGCACACACAGGTGGCTATAAGTCGGAATGCTCTCTGCAAGTCAGGATGGAAACCTAGAGAAGGAATGTCACTGGAAGCCAAAAGTTTAGGCTCTCGAGTCCTGTGGATGTGTGTTCCGGTGATGTGACCTTGAGCCCAGCTCTTGCTTTGTGCAAAGTTCACAATTGGCCACACATTAATACCA